GCATAAACTAGGGTTCAAAAGGAAAGAGATGGATATGAATCATTTAACAATTAACGAAACATAAAGAAAAGATAAAAAGTAAAAAAAAAATTAAGGAATCAATCAGGAGAATACCGTTAATTGGAAGAACTCGTGAGGACAAAGGCCGAACAAGTAAAGGCGGCACACATCGTGATACTTCCGATTCACCTCCCTTACGTTACCTTACCGTACACACCCATCAGCACATCGGGCTGCTTCCGAAGTGTTACCGCACTTCCTAAGTGTTACCGCACTTCCTAAAATGACTTGGTATTGATACTTACGATTACAGAGTGGTCATGAATCTGAAAAGCCCAATGCTAATGGTTCTAAAAATCGAGATTACGGAGATTGTGGCTCATGATCCTTTCTGCTAAAATTTGATAGTGAGTTGAGCTATTATACATGCTTGCTGAGCAGTACTAGGGGCACTCGCCTCCTGCACTCTCCGGCCAACACTTCCATTTTTATTGGGCCACGTTATTTTGAATAAGAGGTTTGAAATATTATTTGTGTGACAAATACATGTGATAATTTCAATTATTTTTTTTATTTTATTATTACTGTTTGGGATCACTCTGTTATTAGATTTTAGAGATTTGTTATGTGAATATGAGATGCCACTGACGCTTGCCATCCAAAAATGCAATATAGAGCAGTTTTTATTCTCTTTTTTTCTTTTTTCTTTTTAGTCAACAAAGAAAAGAGTTGTTTTTATTCAATAAGTAATAAAAGTGCATTTGGTTGCCATGTAAAATAATGCACAATACTTTTTAATAATTTTCTCCTTTTCATAAACAAAATTAAGATCTCATTAAAGAAAAATATATAACTTACACAAATTTAATTGCATTGGATTCCTTTCCAAGTCATCCCTCAGTTGGAAGGATTGTCATTATCAAGACATGACATTGCAGTGATAAGTGAAGACTAATTTAAAGAAGATCTCTTTTTCAATGTCAAAGTTCTTAAAATTCATGACTATCTTGATAATGAATAAGATGTTTTACCCATTAGATTACTACAAAGATTCTACCATCTAGAAGAGCTTGTCGTGGAGTTTTGTAATTCTGAAGAACTATTCCCTTCAAAAGGAGAAGTTGAAGAACAAGAGAAACACATTAAAATTGAGACACTCTCGAGGATTAAAACATTAAATCTAATTCGCCTTCCATATCTCAGGCGTATATGGAGCCATGACTCGTCAATTGTTCTTCAAAATCTTGGAACTCTTCAAGTTCTTTGGTGTGAGAGTTTGATTAGCTTGTCAACATCACCTGCCTTTTTCGAAAATCTCGTAACTTTGAATGTAAGCAAGTGTAGAGCAATGGTAAACTTGGTTTCCATCTCAATAGTCAAAAGTATGGTGCAGTTAGAAACAATGTATCATCGTGCAACATGATGACTGAAATAGTTGAAAATGAAGGAAATGGAATGCAAGACTTGATCATGATTACTTTTACTAAATTAAGATTTTTGAAACTCGAATACTTGCCAAGGTTAGAAAGCTTTTGTTTAGGGAATTTCACCTTCAAATTTCCATCTTTGAAAAAGTTAATTGTGATTCAGTGCCCAAAATTGATGATCTTCAATGAGGGTGACCTAAACACACCACTACTGCAGAGAGTAGAATCAATTGAAGAAAAGGACAAGTGGCATTGGGAAGGTGACCTTAATACCACCCTACAAAGAATGTATATGGAAGAGGTATGAATTGATTTCTAGATATTTTGAAGCCACTCATTCTTTTTATAAAAAATT